TTAAAAGAGAAAAATGTTTGTTTATTTTTTTTTCTTTGCCAAATCCGAACTGCCGTGCCTTCCGCATAACCCTTTCCATTAAATTTTGCGCAGTGGTCTCATCGACCTTATTCGCCGCCGAACGCCAGTTAGATTTAAACTGCTGCTTGTTTTCCATGGATTTATTGGTTTTTTTGAGATTCCGTTTGACCACGGCCAATACCGTTCGATAGGGCGTAATTCTGGGCTGTTGGGAGGGTTATGGTCTTTGGGTACCACAACCACGTTGCTCGCATCGTACTACTCGATTGCCTTTTTCACATAGCGGCAGCTCGCCAGGTCCGGCCAGAACAGCACAGGTCTATTATGTTGCTTTGGGAATGGTAACAGCCGCTTTTTTAGGCACTCCTGGGCGTAGATCTCTTGATTGATGGTTCCCGTAGTAATGAAAATGCCGCTTTTTAGACCACATGAGCATATGGCCTGCCAGATATTTTTTCGGGAACTTCGATAGTTTGATGGTTTTGAATATTTCAGCCACCTTCGTCGTTCATGACGACACAGTCGAACTTTGTGAGCAGATTCGTATACAGCTTTCGGGACCGCTGCTTTGCCGGCGTGTTTTGTTTGTAATCTCGGTTCGCCACCTTCTCCTTCTTAAACGTTGACCGCTGCACAGTAGTATGGGAGACATTGAGCTTGCCAGCGACGTCCCGGATGGAGAGGTTAGGATTCCGCTTATATTTCACCGCCACCTTTTTCGTCGTCGCTGCCACGTCCGGATTACGATTATCGCCGCTTCCAGGATTTCTAGCAGTCAACAGACGCTAACCGAACACTTTCAAAACGTTTGTCACGGTCGATTTGGCCACATCCAGCAATTTTGCCAACTTGGCGTGTAATAACGTCGGATTCCCTTGCTGCGCGAGCAAAATTTTGACACGCTGCTCCTCTTGCTTGGATGTCATTTTGAAAACTGGAGAGCAAACGGTGAAAACGCATCATAGCAACCATTGTATATACACTCAACTTCCAAATGTAGCATTTCAGGTTTTTTTTTAAATGCATTTTTAACAGAAATACACCAATTTGAAGTTCACCAATTTTTGCGAGTTTCAGACTTTAGTTCGGACTTTTGGGTATGTTCAAAGATCTACCCTTACAGTTCCGATAAATTAAAGACAGTTTCATTAACTGCTATTAAAGTTCGAGAACCCGAGAATTTCAGGAAAGTCCAGTAAACTTAAGGAAACATCTGACATATTTTGGAAACTTCACAAATCCAAAGATTTTCATGGAATTTTAATGGCTTTCAGGACAGTTCCATTTGCTTCAGGAGAATTGAGATATCTTTTGGGAAGCTCTGAGAACATCAGGGCACATCCATTCCAGAAAAATTCTGAAACTTTTAAAGGAGTTCGGAGAAACTCAAGGAATCTAGGAAAACTTTAGCAAAGTTTCGAGAAGTTCGTGAAAACTTTGTAAACTTCAAAACATCCCCATTAACTTCAGGAAAATTGCTAGAACTTTCAAGGAGTTCAGCGGAATTGAGGGATATTCCGAAGTGCATTTCAGGAATGTTCTGAAAATTCAGGTACATTGTGGGGGTTTCAGGGATATTTTATGAATATCAGGAATATTGCTGGATCATTTAAACATGTAAGGAACTTCAGGGAATGTTGTGCCAACCAGAAATCTATTTCTTCCAGATTTTCCCCCAACTTCTCCTTGAAGTACTCGTGCGACTGTTCCGTAAGCCCTCTGGCTTGCAACTTTTCCAGAAGTTTCTTCCAATCTACCATAGGAAGTTTCTCTCAGCGTCTCCAGGAAGTACAATAAAAGTTTTCCCGGATGTACCTATCGAGTTCTCCCAGAAGTTTTTTTCCGTCCTCTGGAAGCTTCTCCATAAGTCCTTCTCCGTAGGTTTTTCCGACTTGTATTGGAAGGTTTTTCCGAGCTTCTTCTGACTTCCCCTGGAATTGGCTTCGGATTTCCAAAACTTTTCTGGTTTCCTCTGGGTGTGTCATCCAATTTTTAAGAAAGTTTATAAAGTTTTTGCCAGAAGTTTCTCAATATTTGTTTTGGAAGATCCGGCATTTTTTCCGACATTTCGTAGAATGCCTGCAAATTTCCTCCGCAAGATCTTTTTCATTCTTTCTCTGGATTTTTTTCGGTATCATTAAGAGACTAGTTCAAATATTCCCCGGAAATTTGTTCACATGGAAAGCATATTTTTCGTTCTTAGTTTGAAGTTTCGCCTTCAAAAAGGCAAAAATATAAAATTAATTAAAATAATGATACCGATATATACCGATTTTTTAAACGTTTGATACTGATAAGCTAGAAAATAATCTGGCAACGCTGATGGTGAGAGCAAAATTTGTTTTTGGTGCGTTCTTTTTGATAATCCGAGATTTTCTCTAATAAGGCCGGAACAAATATCAAGTTTTTCTTTTGTCACCCCCCCCCCCCCCTTCAAAATTTTGGAATATCACCAAGGAGAAAATAAAATAAAACTTTCAGAACATCATTCCTAATATTGTTTGGCAACTCACTAGGTAAGCCACCTTCACTCTGATCGATCCCTCTTGTTCGTTGTGCACATCTTCGTCTTGTCCCAGTCGGATCACTACAAAGAACCATTTTCAGTGGGTCGTTATTCAACATTATTTCGATGTGCCCAGCCCACCGTAGATTTTTGCATTAGATCTACATTTCTTAACTTACAAACCTTCTGCAATGATAATTAATTATTCACTTCTTTTCTACAGTGATTCAACAATTTCCGAGCTAAATCCAATCTTTTCAAAATTGGTTTAAAATTTTTAGAAGTGAGACCAAATCAGAAACGATTCAGGAAATTCCTAACTGAGGTGACACTTTTCAAAGAAGATTCAAAACTGAATCTGAACTTTTTTGAAGTGAGTTCAAACTTCCGAATAAGTCATCAATATTTTTCTAACTGAGTCTAAACTTTTCTGTTATTCAATCCTTTTTAAAGTTGTCAAAACTTTCCTGACGTGATTCAACATATTCCAAATACAATCTTCAAAGAATTGGTTTCGTATTAGCTGATTGAGGGCGACCCCGGCGTAGTGGTTAACATCCATACCTCTCACGCCAAAGTCACGAGTTCAAATCTCAACCCCGGACAAGTCAAAAATGACCCAAGAGCTTTAAAGGGACTATAAAAAAAAACATTAGCTGATTATCCCTTTTCCTAAATGAATCCAAGGTTCCTGCATTAATTCAAGTTTTTTCCGAACTGAAACCAAACTAGTCAGAACGGGTTTGATATTTTCCTAAGTGAGCTCCAGATTTTTATTAACTGCTTTGGCAAGGACACAATCTTGCTTAGTGAAAGTGTAGAAAGTTTTCCGAAGTGAACCGACAATTTTTTTAACTTAAATTTTCCAAATGGTGTCCAACCTTTTCTGAAGTGGTTCAAAACCTTCCTTAGGGAGTCCAACTTTTCTGTTGAGTGATTGAATTATATTGAATGTTAGTCTGAGCTTTCCTGAAGTGATTAAACTAACTTTTAACGTAGATTCCGCTCGCTTAGATCCCTTCCTCGTTCTTGTGAGATTCACATCGTTTGAAAATTAGCCTGAGATTTTAAAGAATGGACCTTCGTGTGTTCATACCTGACGGTAGATTTTTTTTTAAAGCAAGCACAATTGTTGAGAAAACTGGGCTTACATCCACAAAAGTATGCATTTTTTTTTTATAGAAATTTGGATTTCTTGTTCAGCCAAGTTGAATTTCGGCTCCTTCCTTTGAAAAATAGGAGTGGATTTTACCAAATTGCTGAATCCATCCGTATTTTCATAGAAATTTGGTTTTTCGGTTCTGCCTAATTGCATTTTGGCTCATATCTTTGAAAAATAGGCTTGTATTTTTTAGAATGGACCTTGCTGAATCCATACGTGAAGGTTGAACCGGGTTTGTAATTCGAAAAGGTTTTTTTTTTTGGTTTTCCTTTTCTGTTAAGTTGGATTTTGATACTGTACTTTAAAAGTTATGCTTAGATTTTATAGAATTGACCTTGCTGAATTCATATGTGATGATTATTTTTTTAAGCACACCTAAAGCCAGGTTTAAATGGACAAAACTACGTATTTTTGTTAAAATTTGGTTTATATGTTCAGCCAAGATGGATTTTGGCTCCTTTCTTTGAATATTACGCTTGGATTTTGTTGAATGGACCTTCCTGAACCCATACGTCTAGTTAGATTTTTTGAAGCACGAACAATTGTTAAGAAAACTGAGTTATATTTGGATAGGGAGGAAGTATCGAAAACAGAACGTTTTTTTTTTTTCATAAGAACTGTTACGTTTGTGATATTCCGCTTGATGGTTTATCTGGAATTTATCAATACTCAAAAATCAATTGCTTTGATCCTATTCATCTTCATTATTACCAATGTTCTTCCTTGAAAGGATACAAAAAACTTATGCGCGAAATGTCTTGTTGATAACTCGAGTGTTACACATAATAAAGTCAACATTTGTGGCATTAGTGTCAAAAATCACGGCTTTAAAGAAGTATAAGGCTAAAGCGAAGGTTAAGAAAAAATGTTAGCGTTTGAAATATACGGTTTAGATATAATGTAAAACGAATTTTAAATGTTTTATTTTTTTTGGGTTTTTTTTTATCCCCCTCCCCCCTCCCCCTCGACTGGTGCGAGCATCGAGTGACAAAAGAAAAACTTGTGATTTGTTCCGGCCTAATGTAAGTATTTCTGAAAGACATGCGTCAGTAGCAATGGAAAATTACGGGATAATGAAGGAATGAATAACAAAGTACAAGGTTGATTTGTGGTTGATGTTCATTTTATGGCTTTTAAAATCTTATGTTTATCAACATTCAGATCGTTGCAATGTGTGTTTCTGTGAGTTGAAATTGTAGTTTTGTAAGTCGACCAGACAGAGTTTATGCTATCCTTTACAGTGCAAGCAGTGGTTTGTAAAAAAGTTCAGTAGTATTTCGTTGGCCAGTTGATTCGAATGCCAGATTTAGGTACCTCTTTAGTAGACGGTATATGGAGAGGCTCCGTAGGTCGAGTAAGTCAGAGGAGATCCATAGGAGTACGAGGACACCGGAGCAGCGTAGGCAGAGACACCTGGAGCGGCATAAGCAGAGAAGCGTGGAGCAGCATAGCTGGAGTAAGCAACCGGGGCAGCAGCATAGCTAGAGTAAGCAACTGGGGCGGCAGCATAGCTGGAGTAAGCAACCGGGGAAGCGACTCCGTTGTAGGTGCTGGTGACGTACGGGCTACGAGCAGCGACCACAGCTGGGGCGAAGCCACTAACCACTGTTGGTGAGCTATAGCTGGTGACGGCCGAGATCCCTGGACGGGCAGCCACGGCAGCGATAGCGAGCGCAAGGACGATCTAAAGGGCGAAGAATTTAATTGTTACCATTGATTTTCTGGATCCGGGTTGAAAAAGAACTTACCAGTTTGGAAAACATTTTGATTTGGGGTTTGCTTGAGTGGTTCTGCCGAAGAGCTAGAAGAAGTTGCTAATGTTGCTTGACGGTTGAGTATGATTGAATGTCCATCCCGGTGGTTCCTTTTATACGAAATTGCAACACATTTTGTTTTCATTACTATCATTAAATGTGTTCTGTCTGCTGAAACAAACATAACTTATTTACCCAACATTGTTGAACAAGCTTTCCACAAATGATTGTAGACATCCGCATTGAACCTGAAAAATCGCAACCGTGTGAAGGACGCTTCAAACTATGTACATAAGAAATGGCATACGCCATCAAGGTTATAAAAAAGCAGGATCGCATAAAAAATAACATCTTTGCAATGGTGACCGTTTCTCGACGCTGGCTAGTATATGATTTACTCTTGCTTTTTGAAGCCTGACTTTTTGACAAATCTCCAAATCACGATACCGAACTGGATTCAGATCTCTTAAGACCCTAATGTTGGCATTTATCACTCCATGGACCCTGTCCACTGCGAAAGTACTCGACCAGACAAGGCAGGTGGGTCAATTAAACAAAGCAGAGCAAGACTAATATACCAACTTTTTTTCTTCATCCCATTCGTCATGCTCCCGCGTATTCCTTGGATTCTTTGTGTGTGTGTGCCATAGGCGTGCCTTCTTCTGCGATTGCTGCTAACCTGTTCTGCTCCGTATTATCAAATGTCAAAATTTCCTCATCCACCCCCGGGACAGCAGAGAACACAATCAATCCATCATCGAACGTGTGGTTGATGGCTACTGGTGGACGAGAAGCTTAGCAATTTCGTTTCGATCCGTTCCACCCATGCCGGGTTGAATATTGATGGTTTCTTTTTTTTTTGCGAGGAGCAATTATAGATGCCCACTTGATACATGTTTATACGAATTGTTGTTTTTTGTGCGGTTCGTTTTCTCTGCAATGTACTTTGAAGTTGATAGCAAATTTTCGGTGAGAGGGGTAATAAATAATCTGGACGTCAGGTTTGAGTTAGAATCCAGTCGCACGGAAAGAAGAATGTGTTACAATTTCGTATAAAAGGAACCACCGGGATGGACATTCAATCATACTCAACCGTCAAGCAACATTAGCAACTTCTTCTAGCTCTTCGGCAGAACCACTCAAACAAACCCCAAATCAAAATGTTTGCCAAACTGGTAAGTTCTTTTTCTACCCGTATCCAGAAAATCAATGGTAACAATTAAATTCTTCGCCCTTTAGATCGTCCTTGCGCTCGCCATCGCTGCCGTGGCTGCCCGTCCAGGGATCTCGGCCGTCACCAGCTATAGCTCACCAACAGTGGTTAGTGGCTTCGCCCCAGCTGTGGTCGCTGCTCGTAGCCCGTACGTCACCAGCACCTACAACGGAGTCGCTGCCCCGGTTGCTTACTCCAGCTATGCTGCTGCCCCAGTTGCTTACTCCAGCTATGCTGCCACCCCGGTTGCTTACTCCAACTACGCTGCCCCACGCTTCTCTGCTTATGCCGCTCCAGGTGTCTCTGCCTACGCTGCTCCGGTGTCCTCGTACTCCTATGGATCTCCTCTGACTTACTCGACCTACGGAGCTTCTCCATATACCGTCTACTAAAGAGGTACCAAAGCCTGGAATTCGAATCAACTGGCTAACGAAATACTACCGAACCTATTACAAACCACTGCTATTGCTGAAAAACATAGCATAAACTCTGCGCGGATTTGAAAATTTACGAATAGACTCATGGAAATACACGTTGAAACAATTTGAAATTTTGGTTTTAATTGTTATTGTTTTTCAAGATAATTTTACTGCAGGGGAGTATGGGGATACTAATTCCCCTCTTTTGCCAGCCCCTCCTCGAAGATTGGCGTATAGATCGTGAACCCGATGTTGAAGAGAACCGAGCTGTTATACTCGAGGCATTGAGCGATGCTGAGATGGATTAAGAAGAAGATGATTTGATCGGATATCAGTCTGCTGAGGAAATTCATTACCGTGAACATGAAGAAATAGTTGATGAAATCCATCGGGAGCATCCACGTCGATCAACAAGGGGGATGTTACCTGCGCGTCTTGAAGACTATTTTGTTGGCAAGGCAATGGTTGACCAGGATGAGCCGACATCGTATGATGAAGGGGTTGGAGGTGCTGAGTAGAACGAGTGGATTGATACGATGATTGCTGAGTACGATTGGTTGGTGACCAATGATAAGTGGGAGCTCGTTGACCCACCGCACAGTGGTTTAAAAGTGAAAATTCATGAATGCGCTATAACTAAGCGAGCTGCAAAGCGCTGCAACCAGATCTTTATTTCTGTGCAAAGATCATAAGTATCTGTTAGTATCCTGGGGAACGCGGTGGTTTTTAGTAAACAAAGAATTTTGATTTATGAATTTCAGTATTTTATCAAATATTTAGATTCAAAGATTGCATCAATTTGAAGATTTATTGGTATGTGGAACCCATTTTAATATTTTAAAAGATTCCAAAATTGTGTCCAATGAGTCTGAATTTGGTTTTCCACAGGGCAGTTATGGTTTTTGAAATTAAATGTTTACTTTATTATTCTTATTGTGCTTTAATATATATAACGACTAAGAAGCATATAGTCAACAGTCCACAAATCGAAATCCACTAATTCGGTTGCATGTTATAGAATCATAGTGAAAAATAATTTCATTGCTACTGCGATGATGATTTTCTACGGGATTGTGTCACTATAAACTTGATAATTATCACGAAGGTCTCTTCAATATCGAGTTGTAGAGAGTTTACTGTAGATCACTTTGTTTTAAAGACCAGTGAAGATCATAGCAACCTACACATTTTATATTAAAATTAAAATCACAATCGTACAGCTTATATTCGACTGTTTAATAACTTACAGAGCACAAGTGAGAGTTCCTAAAGTAGATCAGATTATTAAATTGCAATAAAAAGTCCTCGAAAATGTCTAATTACTTCTCAGGTATTTATTATTATCTTTTGACGTAGGAGTACGTCTATAATTTCTATACTGGGGTAAACTTAGTCAAAACCTAAAATGGAACATGAAACAAAATTATGAAAGATTTGGAACATTAATAACTCAGCTGCCCCTTGATCAATTTCAATAATTTTATCACCAATCAATCATAAATATGTCTACGCAATGCTTCTAACTAATTATTTTCAACAATAAACTATTGAAAAAGTGGTAATGTCAAGAATTATCCAAAGTACAAATAAAAGGGGGCTTTCATGACCACACAAAATGCTCTCCAGAGTTGTAATCTTGTATCCAAACTTGCAAGCAGGGGTGCAAGTGATTTTGATCGATTCTCTTCATCAACTTTCTCTTTGAAAAAGAAAGTACTACAAATTTGGTACGCCTACAAATCAAAAACGGAAAGAGTTAAGATAATAGATAATCGATCAATTAAAAAAACTAAATCTTCTTCACATTCTTCTCTTTTTTTAACTCTTTATTTGTTCCAAATTCAAAATAAATTACATTTCATTTTTAACCTAGGTGCTCCAGTTACTGCAGTAACGTACCAGCCTTAATTGTTATGATATCTAAGTGTTTTTACATTGTTCATGTCTTGGCAATTAAGTATTTTAAACGGGATTTTTAACCTGCATGTCAGTATAACAATTGATATCTTAAAACTAAAAACTAAAACTAAATTTTATCTAAGTATAAAGGGAATTAATCGTTGCAATTGAGGATTGCAACGATTTTTGCCTGAAATTATTCATTATTTTGTTGGACATTTGTTCTAAAGTCTCAACATTCGAAATTCTATGTACTTCGGCGGTACTGTACCAGGGAGGCAACTTCAAAATCATCTTCAGAACTTTTTTCTGAATCCTTTGAAGTGCTTTTTTCCTGGTAGTGCAACAACAAGACCATATTGGCACAGCGTAAAGCATGGCCGGTCTAAAAACTTGTTTAAATATTAGAAGTTTGAAGATGCTAATTTCAAAAAAACAGACTGTAGTGGTAATTTTTATACGATAGATGGAGTAGATGAAAGCATAGAGTTGATAGTTCCGTTAGAGTACGGCAGTGTGAAGATTGCATATAGATGTTAAAACAGCGAGCTAGGACAACTTTTATGGAAGGTACAAATCGGGTTTTTCATCTCTCTTTACCAAACTCCCCCTTTGGAGTCCCTGAACAATCATCAAACAGAATATTACCATTGGAATTGCTTTGAACATTATTCCATGAGCGGTGTTTTGCATTAAAATCACCAATAATGAAGAATTTAGATCTATGACGGGTAAGTTTCTGGAGGTCACCCTTGAGAAAATTCTTTTTCTGGCCTACGCATTGGAATGGCAAATAGGCAACTATAAACGTAAGTTGTCCAAATTTTGTTTCAACAGAAACTCCCAAAGTTTCAAAAACTTTGGTTTCAAATGAAGAAAGAATTTTATGTTTGATTGGACTATGAATAATGATGGCAACGCCACCACAGGGTCCATCAAGACGATCATTTCTATGAATCAAGTAATTTGCGTCCTTCTTAACCTTGTGGTCAGGTTTAAGGAACGTTTCAGTTATAACGGCAATATGCACGTTATGAACTCTCAAAAAGTTAAATAGCTCGTCTTCATTATCTTTAAGAGATCGAGCATTCCAATTTACAATATTTAATGCTTTAAAATCCATTACTGAATTTTAAAGTCATGACAATATTATTTGCAAATTTTACTCCAGTTTGAATAGCATCAAACATGGAGTTAGATTTAAGCATATCAGACATCATGTCAATTAATGAATTCTGTAAAAAATCCATTTTAGGGGCAGTAATGCTTCCTAAGTCAAAATTGTCAAAATTTCCGTTAGAATTACTTTGGTTAGTATTTTGATTTCTACCCGTTGCAATAGCAGCATAGGTAGCTCCATCAACTCGCTGAACATTGTTAGCAGCGAGGTGAGTAGGTACAGATGAAAAATTTGAAGCAGGGGTGATATTTGTACCTACGGAATTTGTACCTGGTCGGAAACGTGGAGCGTTTCCTACCTGTCGTTTAGAACGAGATTGTAGAATCGCTTTGCGAGTCTTACATTCCCAAAAATTGGATTTCTGGTTTTCACCACAATTTGAACATTTAAATTTCGTAGGATCTTCCTTTACAGGACAGCCGTCCTTTGCGTGAAAGGAATCACCACAATTCATGCATTTAGCTGGCATGTAGCAATTTTTAGTTCCGTGACCCCATCCCTGGCACTTACGGCACTGAGTGAGGTTTTGGAAATTTCCTCCAGTCTTCCTGAAGTGTTCCCACTTCACTCGGACATGGAGCATAAGGCTAGCTTTTTCTAAGGCCTTAAGGTTGTTTAGTTCACTAGACTTGAAGTGAACTAAATAAAAATCATTAGAAATCCCGTTGCGCGAATCGCCAGGACGGTATTTCATTTTCATTTTGATTACTTGGAGTGGCACAACTCCAAGTAATTTTGCCTGTTCATCTTTGATCTGATCCAGGGATTCACCACTGGGCAGTCCTTTCATGACAACTTTGAACACACGTTCAGTTTTGGTGTCGTAAGTAAAAAATTTATGCTTCTTCTCAGTAAGATACTTGAGAAGACATTTAAATCCGTCCAAGGTTTCAGCCAATACACGGCATTCACCCCGACGTCCAATTTGTAGTGAAAACTTAACATTCACGAAATTCAAAAGTTCCATGCGAAGAGTATGGAAATCGGAAGTGGTTATCACAATAGGGGGAATCTTTTCCTTCTTGGCATTAAGCCGGGAAAGTTTACTAGAATTTTTGATGGATCATTCTCATCATCCGTGAGCAAATCAAATTGATTACTCAAATTAATTTCTTCAGAAGGGGGGTCAAGAGTTTGCCCCTTTCTTTTGCGTTTAGGCGCCATGGCGGTAGTAAATTTTTATCCAAATCGAGTTCCAAGCAGATTACTATAAGAATCTGAAGGATCGAAGAGGAATTTTCCAAATCGACATCCAAGAAGGATTACCTCGGGTTGGGTCCGAACAAGGATCGAAGAGGAATAAAGTTGAACAAGGTAGAAATTTTACAGGTTGAGCTTTAGGTAGTAGTAAGGTAGGTAGTAGTAACACTGCCTTCAGCAAAAAGCAAATAGATCCGCACGGCAAGAGAGCACAATGCGGACTGATTCACATTCTTCTCATTTTCTTTCATTGTTCCGTGCCCTAGCGGTCCTACGTCAAGCTCCCGTTCGTGCCCCTAGGCACAGACCCTTCTATTTTTTTTAAATATTGATAGGAAATTGTGAAAAATCTCTTCAGGAGGAAAAAGTAAGGTTGACGTCAAAAAAGCATTGCAGGAACGGCTGAATTCACTAGGTTGGTGGAGATTAGAAGTTTCTTCGGCAAAAGTTTTCAAGAAATTTCCGATGGATTCTTCGTTATTTCTCAAAGCGCTTTCATTAAGAGCGCAGCGACTCGATTTTGATTGGAGAACGCATAAGGTTTAAGGTATCCAATGGATCCGGGGTATTTCAAGGTTTCCAACGATAAGCCGATGATGAATTGTAATGCTGATTACCATAAGTTGGTCGAATGACTGCTCTACCTATCAGTGAAGCATTTATCAATTTGCAAAAGGTCGCTATTGGCTGAGTCTGTATGAAGTTTGAGTAAATTTGGTGAAATTCGTTAACGACGAAAAAGCTACAACTTTTTGAATGCATTAACCATATACAATATTTAATGATCATCGAATAACTTTGGAATACAATATCATGACTTGTTGTTTTCAAAAAAGCATCAAATACATTTCGATTTGAATGTTTTTGGACTGCAACGAGGAGACTGTAGGTTACAAAACTGAAAACCCAAAGAAACTTAGTTGCACTTCAGTTTAACTTCAAGAAATAACAATTGCTTCAACTTCATACAGACTATGGCAATCATCCCAAAAACTTTTCCACATCTTGAATACTAAGGTAAACAGCGGCAAACATTTCAAGCATTTTGAGGCACAAACTGAAAACTAGCAGCTCCGTGAACTTTAATAGAGAGTCACAAAAATCACGGTGTGTTTTTCTATGCTTTGTTTTGTTATAGTTACTTTAACAATTGCTAGGTCATTCTTCACTTGTCCGGGAATGAATTTTAACTCAGGATCTTTAACGTAAGAGGCATTGACGCTAACCATTACAATCGTTGACCACTTTTAATTAAGCAATAATTAAAACAGTTGTCACCATCATCTGTAGCAATTACTGACGTTTCAGATTTTGTAATAACAGATATAATACAAACAGAGATTAGTTTGATTCATATTGATTTGTATTTCACAGACCTTAACACACTACTGCAACAATAACATCACAGGGGGCTGTTACGACCCTCACACATTTGGCATATCACATATTCAGTCATTAAAAGCTAGCCAATAATTTACAGAGCGTATGGGCTGTAACGGTAAGCAGCATAAGGAGACGCGTAAGGAGCAGCATAAGCAGCGGCGTAGGGAGCGGCGTAAGGAGCAGCATAAGGTGTGGCATAAGCAGCGGCATAAGGTGCGGCGTAAGGAGCAGCATAAGGAGCGGCATAGGCCACTGGAGCAGCAACCTTGGCGACTGGAGCAGCGTAGGCCAAAGGAGCGGCAACCCTGGCAACTGGGGTGGTGTAAGCCAATGGAGCTGCTACGGCAGCGGTGTAAGCCAGAGGAGCAATTCCGTTGTAGTTGCGGGCGATGACCTGGGAACTCTGAGCGGTTACAACCGCTGGAGCATGAGCGGCCACCAATGGTGAAGAGTAGGCAACGGGACCGAATCCAGGAGTAGCGCAGACGCACGTGATGGCCAGGGCGGCGATGCAGATCTGTAATACAGATTATCGTTAGAATCGAACTGGCGGATCAAGTCCTGATCAAATCGTACCAATTTGGTGAACATCTTGATTTGGTTCGGGTTGGTTTCACTGTTTACTGATTGAAGCTAGCGATTGAACTATAATTCTATTGCCGACCGGTCATACTTTTATACGATTATAAATTTCGGAATCCTTTAGCTTGTATGCTCACCCCCTTCTCAGCAGAAGACACCGATATCACTCTCGGTCGCACAGAAGCTGCCGTCGACAAACTCAACTGCAAGAACTAAATACTTACGCCCAATAAAACAGCAATTTGACGACAGCGAAATTTCATTCATTCATCGGTTCAGAAGGTGTCTCATCCATCACCGCACCGATATGCCAAGAGTCTTGTGCTGCATGATCGCGGTTGGGACTGATTAGCATTCCACTCGCACCGTGATAAGTAAGTCGTATGCGATTACACCTGTGCTGTACCCGTAAGCCGCATGGTCCAGTTATTGTCACAGTGCCACGGCGGCGTTCATTGGCCTTGGCCAATTGAATGACGTGGATCGCTGCAGCAAGGAGTAATATGTTGGTAGGCAACAGAAAAATGCTACCGCGATATGTTTGTGGGAGTGGGAAGCGTGACGAACAGATTTTTGGATTTTGGGAAATTTTAACGACCTATTGAAAGTGAGTTGTTGTTTGTGTTTGCAGCGAGAAGTTCAAGGTTACGATGGGCAAGGGGACAATTTGGCGTATATTGCATGGCATTGATAAAGGGGACGACCTTTGTTTTGTTTCGAACCACGAATTCTTTTACAAGGTGACAGCAGCACATTATGATCTTCTTCATGGCTTTCACATTCTACCACGAGTTTGAAACTGTTCTTTACTTAAGGTCCGTTTAGACTATCTGATTTCTTGGTCTGATTTTGACCGCCGCCATAATGAAAAATCTGCTCGATTTTACTTTTGACACACTATGTCAAACCCTCCCGTTTGCTGGTGTTCACACTGCTTGCACATGTCAAAATAACTGTCAATTTAGATTTCAAAACAAAACTGCATCACTGTAATGAACTATCGGAAAATTGCTCTAGCTTCGGCAGGCGTATTTGCTTTTATTATTTTAAATAAAATGCTAAAGATAAGGTAAACTTTGTGGAGTAGGAAATGGTTTTTCTGGAGGAACACCGGCAGGGATCTGGCTCATCTTGTCTTCCTAGAACTGCGATATGAAGACGAAAAAGGATTTCAAAACTTCACCAGGATGTCGATACCAACTTTCGACAAGCTGGTGGGAAAAGTGCTTGATAGATCTACGTGATTACTTGAGTTCTGAACATTCCTGTTAATAACTCAATTCTGCATATTTCTCTGGAGACCTTCGGAGGTCAACAAACTTCCCTCAAGAAAATTTCTTGGCAGTTATGCAGATTTTTTTAAGCTCTGTGTGTTCTTCAGAAGTTCTGCAAATGTCTTTACAAATCTACAAAGTTCCTAAATCTATGCAGATTTAAGATCCTTAAGTATCAACAATTATCTCTGATGTTCTCTAAAGGTCTGTAATTTTCTGTGTTGATTTTCATAAATCAATGAATATCTGCAAATAACTCTGAACAGCTACATAATTCCTTAAAGTATAAAAAAAATATCTATGAATATTTGAGCTTCCCGAAAGTTTAAGGAAATTCTCTGAAGATCTGCTTATTTTTCTGAAGTTGTGCAAATATCGTTAAAGATCAGCAAACTTCCTAGAAGTTCTGTACATTTCTCTTAAAATCCGAAAACCTAAGCCAAATTCTGAATATATACAGATTTTTCAGTAGATTTACGATCTACCCTCTGAACTTTTCTGAAGTTTCTAAAATTTCATTAATATTCTGTTAGGTTTTCTGGAGTACTGAATTTCTGCTCTGAAGATCTACGAACTGTCCTAAAGGTCAATAAATTTCTTAGAAGAGCGTCGAACTTCTCTAAAGTTCTGTAAATTTATTTGTGGATTCTTGAACTTACATAAAGTTCTGCAGATGTGAAATTATTTGAAATTTCCCAAAGCTCTACAGATTATATGAAAATATTTGAACTTCACTGAAGTTTTATAAATTCCTCTGAAGTTGTGTAAAAACTTCTAAATATCGCCATACTTTCCCGAAGCTCTGTGAGTTTTGCTGAAGTTATGCAATTTTTTCTAAAAATGTACGAACTTCCTCAAGTTCTACAGACTTCTCTTAAGGTCTACGGACTTCCCTGAAGTTTTCCAGATCTATCTATTTCCAACTTCCACGAAGTTCTGCAAAATCGTGGAATTTCGTACATGGCTTGGATTTGTTTTTGGAATCGAAGTATGAAGCTTTTTGAACCACTGAATGTCTCTGAAGATCTGCGAAATTCCTTGCAGGTCTTCAAATTTCATTTGATATCTACTCTTCTGAAGTTCTGCAAATACCTTTAAAGTTCTTTAGAGTTGTCTGAAGCTCCGTAGTTCTATTTTCAAGTTCTACGAATTACCTTGAGGCTCAATGAATTTCTCAGTAGATCTGAAAACTTCTCTGAAGTTTTGTAAATTCCTTTGTTGGATCTCGGGCTGCCCTGAAGATCTGAAAATTTCTCTGAAGGTCTTGTTGAATGTTTCTCTAAATATTTACAAGTTTCCCTGAAATTGTAAAAGTATTTTTTAAAAAAATCGCCGAACTTCCCTGAAGTTCTGCAAATTTCAATGAAGATCTATTAAAATTTCTGAGGTTTTAAAAATGTATCAGAAAATCTATCACAGCGACACCGGTGGTGTAGTGGTAAGCATGATTACCTCTCACCCCAGCAGGCCAGGGATCAATCCCAGTTGGCGCCGCTGGGATGTTCTGAGGCATAACATCTCTGATCACGCCTTCCTTCGGAAGGGAAGTAAAGCCGTTGGTCCCCGGCTCATGAGTTGAAGGGTCGATAGGTAGAGTCCAGGTGTGGGAGCTGCCTTCCTGGCACGTCGGTAGCATTGGTGCTCAGCACGGAAAACAAGATCGACGGAAAAAAAACAAACCAAAGGAAAAACTCACCCCCATACCACCAAAGAGCTCTCATCAAGAGCCCCCTGGTAATGGACTCCTCGATTTTAATTTAAAAATAAATACAAGAATTAGAAGGAATAGTAACATATGCTGATAATTTGGAGGTGTGTGTGTGAGCTATGTGTAGAACAAACAAAGTTGATAATGATGGGATGTTCCCCGTGGAACTAAGTTCCTTTAAAGGGACCCCTTACCTATAAATATAAATGATTCAAAATATTAATATATACAGCTTAATAGTGAGTGTAATACAATGATAATAATGAGTGAAATACGAATTTCATAAGAGTTCATTGATTTTTGATTTGTAATGTTGTTTTAAATAACAATCGATTGTTCAAATCTTCAAGCGTTCTAGAAGTACGTTGTATACAGATTGACCTTAAAATGAGATTCGTATTGGACCAAGGCATGTAAATGCCCTCGAACGAATTAAATTATTTGCATACCGAGTGTTGTGCTCATTACGTTACGATGCATGTTCGGGTTTTTAGCGTATCGATTATAAACAAGCAAGACTGCAATTTACACAAGCCACGTAATGGGAGAATACTGTGCAATATGTTGGTGTGAAGTTGGAAAGTAGAATATAATTTTGGTAGGCGAAAAACAATTTTTAAACATTGATTTTGCAATACTTGAAGCTTTTTCATCAAGCATGTCCCCAAACAATGATTAGGTATTGCAAATGAGAGTGTATACAACCATGATAAAACGTTAGAAGAGCACTCCTAGGCACCAATTTGCTAACACGATACATTAAGCTACAAAGAGACGAAATTTTTCCATTGGACGTGTTCTAGATGATTACCCCAATAGAGTGTACACACAAAAATTATCGTTAATTAAATTGAAAAAACCATTGGTAGAATTAAAAGTTTGCGTTGGTTCTTTTTGGTAGAAAGTCTAGCATTCAAAACAAAAGTCAGCCAACTGTCAATTCAAAAACAACTCAATTTTTACTTTTAAAAGTAGAAACTTTCAAATCAAATTGTAGAACTGTCAATATAAAAACCCATGTTTTTAAATAGACTCACGAAAGCATTTAATTTAAAAGATGGGCATTTTTAACGCAACGATGTATGTTTTCATTTCAAATATGAATTATTTTTTAATTCGACTGCTATATGCTTTGAAGAAAATAACAATAGAAATATTTTATTTAATATATATTCGTTTATTTATATTTTTGATGATGACTGAAAGGGCACTGCATTGTGGAATCTTCCATGAGAAGCATTTACGCAAAAATGATACCGTTGGTGATGGTGATGGTGGGAGTAGCCTTTCTTTCCGGCAAGACTGACGAGGCTGCTCAAAACACATAAATTAGTAAAATCGGAAGCATGATCGAAAGTTTTCGAAAATTTCATCAACCTACCTCCAAATCCCGTAACTGGAATATCCTTCCGATCCTTCCACTTGATAGCGTCAGAAGAGAAACAAGCGCGCCGGCGGATGAAAATGTGGGAAACTGCTGCTGCTCATGCATGTTAGCTGCTGGTTTATTTTCTTTTTCACATGTCTAATTTGGCGGGAAACGGTGGTCCAGTACTGTCAAAAACTTTGCAATGAAGAGGTTTTTGACAGTTTTTCGACTTTTATTCTAAAAAATACAATTTTAAAATTACAAGCCGAAAGTGAAAGCAACACTTTTAAACCAAAAATATATGTTTTATTTTGAAAATTTTCATAGTTAAAACTACGAAATTTGGCAAACTTTTAATTTGATCATGCAATATTTTTATAGCAACAATTTTTGTTCTTTGTGTGTAGGATCTAACACCAAACCAAAGTATTTAAAACTAAATACTTTTTCTATTACTTTAGACCCAATTGACGGACTATTGTGCGGAAGAATTTGTTTCCTTGGTGAGTGGAACACCATATATTTAGTCTTAGATATGTAACTTTAATATATGTAAATTTGTATCAAAGTATCTCATGAGAACTTGCCAATCATCGTTTATGCATGAAACAAAAGATAAAGAATCATGATTAGGGTAAAAAGTGCTGTATCGTCCGCAAATAATGGGGCTATTCCTTTAATAGGTAAATTTCCAATATCGTTGATGTAGATCAGAAATAAGAGGGGCCCAATATCACTTCCTTGAAGAACTCCTACGTTTATTGGCAGGTGTGAGCTCCATGCATCTTTCAGTATCACAAGCTGTTGCCTATCACTTAAATAACTACACACACTACTAAAAAATCATGTAAATTTCGGTTCCCTAAGACCGACAGATGTAAGCGGGCCTTTTGACATAAGAATCAGTTGAAAGAAACGTGAAAATCAATACAATCAAACGTTCTCTTCGTCGACTAGCTGATGTTTCGGTTTGAGAACACTTAATTTTACATGAAATGTTTGTTCACGTTCTATGATTTACGTCCAATATGGATAACGTCTCGTGTAAAAGTAGTTATTTCTAAGTGTGCAGTGTTCACTTGGCTGTCGACAGAAGCAGGCCACTCTCGATGTGTGTCACGCGATCGTCTGTTTACTCGGCAGTAACCATTGTGTGGTCCTTCTCATTGTTATTCATCAGCAGTTCTTTCGTTCGATGCGTCATCGACTTTGGAAAGCAGCCGTTTCGTGATGAGTGTGTGAGTGTTGACCACGTTTTGCGTCCATTGCTGCAATGGGAGCGCTCTGCCCCTTGTTGGCTATCCTACCATACAATGAAACCAATGGAAGCGGCACTAGTTCTGATGAAGGAGGCTTATTGGATAGCGGAAAATAATGTGTTTATTGTGTTGTACCTTTTGATTATATTTTTAACACAGACAAACAGACATAAAACTCACAATCACATTCTTCGCAAATAAGGTTTCTGTTCGGAACGTGCTCGCATTTGTCATGGTGGCGCCACTGAATCGTTAAGCAAGTCAGCACATTTTAAAATTATCAGTGGTGCCAGTACGTTTTCAGGTCAATTTAGTAGATGTCAGCTCTTGAAATAAGGAGGCAACGCAACAAATCACCTTTCATTGTTTCTTGGGAAAACATCCCACATACTAATCTGAAGCATACAGAAATAAAAGCTATTGATGGTGATGATGATGGCCCCACCGCTTACTCCTACAAAGATTTGAGCTGGACGATTTATCTTTAAGATAATTGAGTATAACATTCAACCAGATTAGCAAACAAAAACGAACTGGTTACATTTACAGATATAAATTCCCTCAACACTTTTCAGTTGCTTCACAGCGATTTAAATGTGAAAAAGCTTCGGCGTTCACCTCTTTGTTCACTCTTTTTTCCACCTCAAATATTCACAAGCATTCCCAATCTCGTTCCCAGCAATCAAGAGTTAATGAATAATCAACAAAGCATTATAATACACTAGCAATCCCACAATCTGATGCTATCGTAATTTTCAGCAACGTCAGGAATGCATTCTAAATGCTTCGTATTGATCGTTCCGCTTGTAATGTAATACTACGGTATACGAGGTACACAGATTTTGACAACAAATCATTTTAACTAGTGTAATATTGTATCCAATTTTACAATCACTGAGTTCAATACATCATCATGAATAACATTAATTGATACATGCTATTATTTTTGCTGTCTACATATCAAAGTGATATGGCGGTGCTAGAAAGGTGAAACATAAATAATAGCTTGTTTCCAGCAAAATAAAAATCAAGCAAAAAAAAACAAAACAAATCCCTAAAAATAGACTGAGCTTCTGTTATACGGATCCGTATTTCTGATAAATTTAATCAATACTTAATATTTCGTAGAACCGGCATCACTGACTGACCGAGGGAAAAGCAACTAGTGAAAAAGTGCATAAACGAGGGATGCTTCGGTTACAAATCAATGCTTCGGAATGTGCAAGATAGAGGATGCTAGTGTGCACGCTTGACGATATTTTTTGAAGAATTTTCTTCTAAGAGCTATGTCTGTTTGTCTGTGGTTTTAAGATGTATTGTATAGTGATCACGAATCCTCGGCTCTGTAAAGTTAATTCGATTGAGGCTTATCAAATAAATAATGAAACAACTTTAATAACTACGCATAATTACATTTGCCCGTCCACGTATGCCATAGCAATCTAATTTTTGCAAAATCGACAAGCTCAACTATTGCCGAAGAAGTACTACTTCCTTTCCTAAACTCGTATTGGAATTCATACAAAATGTTAAATTTGTTAAAGAATTGTACAACTCTATTAACTATCAATTTTTCAAAAAAAAATAATGAAAATAGACAGCGTGGAAATGGGACGATATTTGCAAGACTCAGAAGCATCATTAGCTTTAAAAACAGGCACCACTTTTGCCACTTTGATACAGCCAGGGTATCTCTCTTGCTTCAGTATGCTATTGAAAAGTTCTGTAAAGATATTTGAAAATGCATTCAGCTTATGCTTGCTGGAAGATTATCAGGTTCACAGCTTTTTTAACATTTAAATAATTTATTGAAGACGATACCTCCATTACATCAGTAGGTTCAAGAAAAATAGTTCACTCAAGGCGAGTTACAGAACTTTGTGGATTCAAATTTTGCTTTAGATTATTGAACCCACCCCATTATTTATCATAATAACCTGCACTTTGACACGATGTAATCTTTTCCTGTCCTTAAAGTCCTCAGGTTTCACCCTCATTGTTCGCTAGACCTGTTCTCTAAATACCTAAGACCGGTCTCAAGTTATATCAGACTCTAGATCTCTTGATCAAGTATCTTCGTAGTTCCATTCAAAGCACTCATCAACAGGAATTATCTGATAGATTTGATATTAAGGTGAATTCCTCGTTCATTATCGCATTATCACCTCGAAATGTCAAGAGCACTAATATCAACTCTCACAAAACATACAGTGTCTCTCAAAATTGATTGTACACTCTAGATGAAATTTTTTGAACCATGGTGAATAGATATATTTTTTTAAATCGTGACTGATGGTAGAAAAGATGTTTATTAATTTATTGCTGTAGTTCCGCAAGTAAATTTTTTTGATTGTATAATGGTTCTGAAGACCGTAATTTAGATTTGTAGAATGCTTTAAAACCTCTATAAAACTTGCAATTTTATTTAGGTTTGGTCTTTATTGAAAAAAAAACTTGTATGAAGTTAGATTAATTTTAGTAAAACGCTTGGTTTTCAACTTCTTAACAAGTGGACGATTTTAGTAAAATTAGTGGCATATGAATGATCCTTATTACGACTTAAAATGAACAAAATTTCAAGAAGTTTTGTTCATTTCATTTCATGAAAAAAAGGTTTTTTAAGAAAAAGGTGTTTTCCTTAAATTGCTTTACCTTTTTGCAAACTCATCCAAATATGCCCAATACTGAGCCAATAATTAATAAATTTATGCTAAGTCAGCTGCCAAAAATTAAGCGACATATTTTTTTTTAACTTGTGCTTTAGAGCCGTTTTTTTTAAAATTTAAGTACAGGTGTACGATCAATTTTTAGATACACTGTATAACAAACTGGAATTCCACATTTCATGAACGTTGTTGCAACAATGTCAGAGATTTGTGCTCTGGAAAACTTTAAGTAATAGGCCATGTCAGCCATTTGTGGACACTTCAGGAAATCACCTTAAAATGCTCTGTGCTTGTCCAAAGAAAATGCTTAGAATATTCCACACAATTTTGGATTTACTCTGATGTCCTGACTTGCCCTCAAAATCCATTAGAGCTTTAGATATTTATCATTGGAACGCAACAAAATAGGACACCGCAGTATAACAAAGAAGGATTCCAATAGCACAGTAGAAATGAAACCACCAATGATTGTACTTCATAAATTATGTATTGCTTCAATCTTTAACAAACTTCGTAATTTTGCTTCGTTACACCAAAAGAAAAAAGAAAACAAAGAACTCATAAAATACTTAAAAACCACATCGTATGTACACAAAACTGAGATCAACTCATCCTGTCACGATTCCCGGTCGCTTACAGCACATACTTGGCCGCCAGTGGAGCGGCATAGGCCAGAGGAGCAGCATATTGGGCAGCATATGGGGCAGCATATTGGGCAGCATATGGAGCAGCATACTGGGCAGCATAGGGAGCAGCATATTGGGCAGCATAGGGAGCAGCATACTGGGCAGCATAGGGAGCAGCGGCGAAGGCTTGAGTAGCAGCAGCAGTGTAGGCCAGTGGAGCGGCAGCAGTGTAGGCAGCATAGGCTGGGTTGATAACCTGCGAGTTGTGCGAGGTGACAACGGCGGAATCTCCTACGTTAGCGTATCCGGCAGTGTAGGCAACGGCTGGGCCAGCGGCCACCAGCGGGGCGGAGTAGGCCAGTGGGGCTCCCAGGTATCCTGGCTTGGCGGCGACGCTAGCGATGGCCAGAGCGGCAACGAAGAACTGAAACGGATGAAAGAAATTTGCTTTAGAACAACTGGAAATAATGAGAATAAGACACATGAAAAAAAAAAACATACCACTTTAGCGAACATTTTGATTGAGTTTGGTTTGGTTGCTGTTTGCTTGACTGATAAGCTGGTAACTGATGCTTTCTGATTGGTTTCGCATTGTTTTTATACCAAATCAAGTATTTGGGTTTCGTACATCCTTTTTTTTCTGCACTCTGCTTGGCTACGAGGAGAGTACGTGATTGTCGTAAATTACGGTCGCATTGCATGATCGGTGGTTTGCTAACACCGGTAGAATGACGCGATCGGATCGGTAGTTGGATTGTGTATTCAAATTAGAGACCGTTATTCAAGCACGGCAACCGAAAGTGAAGGTGGACGAATTTAAAAGTTCAACCGAACCGGAGTGACTTGAATCTGTTCCTTGTGCCCGTTGGCACGTGGCGAATTCTAACGAATGTGTGCGAAGGACGAACGGCGGATGAGATGCTATGCAAAGGTTGGTTTTGGACATTCCGATGCATCCGCTTTGGACGCACTGCTATGCAGATTTTTTGGCGTGGCAAACAGGTGTGTTCAATAGAGGAATTCATTACGAGTTTCTGAGCGTTTTTCAAGAGGCGATTCTTAGCAGCGAGTCAGTTAACCTTTTTTATAATTTATAGGAGTTAAAATCTTGAAACACGGCGCCGGTGGTGTAGTGGTAAGCGTGATTACCTCTCACCCCAGCATGCCTGGGGTCAATACCAGTCGGCGCCGCCGGGATGTTCTGAGGCATAACATCTCTGATCACGCCTTCCTTCGGATGGGAAGTAAAGCCGTTGGTCCCCGGTTCATGAGTTGATGGGTCGATAGGTAGGGTCCAGGTGTGAGAGCTGCCTTTCTGGCACGTCGGTAGCATTGGTGCTCAGCACGGAAAACAAGATCGACAGAAAAAACAAACCAAAGGAAAAAAAAAAATCTTGAAACGCATTTTTCTCCATAAATATGGCCTAAATCGACATTTTAGGGGTGTTTGAGATATGGCTTAAATTGACAATGAATTAGACGCGCTCTTCTCAAACAATCCATCCCGTGGAAAGCTTAACATGTATTGCAAATTTCGTAGTTCATTTTGTTGGATCATATTGTTGGAAGGAGATTCTCTTTTTCCCGCGGGTTTCGCGTAAGTGTCCAACCCTTTTTGGCCCTTCATACAGCAGTATGTTGAATTCATAATGATTACGAAAATTGATTTTGCTGTTGAGTCGAGCCACATGCAGGGCAAGACCCAAGCTAGGATGGTGACTTCTTACATACATACATAGACATGGCTTAAATGGGTACACGACGTTAGGCATACGGTCGTTAGGCATACGGACGTTAGGCATAATGTACAATAGCCGTAATGGACGTTGGGCATACAGGACGTTAGGCATAATGGACGTTAGGCATAATGGACGTTAGGCATAATGAACGTTAGGCATAATGGACGTTAGGCATAATGGACGTTAGGTATAATGGACGTTAGGCATAATGGACGTTAGGCATAATGGACGTTAGGCATAATGGACGTTAGGCATAATGGACGTTAGGCATAATGGACGTTAGGCATAATGGACGTTAGGCATAATCTACCTGATGAATTCCAGAAGGATGATAATGGGGACCGTCTATTGATTGCTGACCTCGGTGACAATAATTGAAGAGCCTTAATTTTTGGAACTCATGAAAACTTGCGACGTCTTAGACAGGCAAAGTATTGGGTTACAGATGGTACATTTGCCACAGTTCCTTGTTTGTTTCGGCAACTCGTCACTGTTCGTGGAAGTATCGCTCCCTCACATCAGCAGACGGTTCCGCTAGTTTTCATTCTGATGACATTAAAAACAGAATCGTTGTATCGAAAAGTATGGCAGGAAATCCTGGAAGCAGCAGGTATTTTTTTTTTGTTATTGAATGAAAAACAACTGAATTCACCATTCTTCATTTCATGAGCTGTTCTTTGGCATCATATTTTATTCAACCTTAGCTGATTGATTTCAAGATATAGTTCAAAACGATGCTGAATTTTCATTGCCAGATTACCTAACTGCTATCGCTACTAATCTTGGATCTAAGTAAATATGTAGCTACGTCACTTATGATATGATGAATAATGGATTCCAAACTGTGCTTATTAAATAAACTATGTTTGTTTAACTTATAAAATTTTTTATTCAACGCTTAGCCTAATTTAAGCATTGTTAACCATGCTCGGAACAGGCTTCTAGAGTTGCACAGAAGCAAGGTATTTTATGCCTAACGTCCATTATGTCTAATGACTTTATGTCTAACGTCCATTATGCCTAACGTCCGTATGCCTATCGTCCGTATGCCTAACGTATTTATGCCTAATAGAGTAGGTACACTTGGCTTAAATCAAAAATTTAGAGGTATTTGGGAGTTCAAATGCATTTTTCTCCTCAAATATGGCCAAAATCAACATTTTAGGGGTGTTTGGAAGGCAAATCTTAAAATGCATTCTTAACCATAAACATGCCTAAATCGATATGCTATGGGGTGTTTGGAGAATTTTTGCATTTTTCATAGCCGCACAATAGGCAGATTTTCACACAAACTAGCCAACTTTGGCAAGTTGCAACTATGTTTTGTTATGAACAATTTAGCTGAAATTTTGACACAGAGGTACACATATGCTGAATTTTGCATGTTCGTTATATCAAATTATTAGAAGCGCTTGCGGGAAATTTATGAAAAAAGGCGTATACAGCCATTCCATAGCAAAACGATATAGTTGTTCTCAGAATTTCGTAAAAATTGGTAGTTTTGTTTCATATCACAAAAAACAAGACCTGTATTATTTTATTTTCATTGGCGTAGCTAATGAGGGTACCTAGGGTGCCAGTCCCTAGCCAGAATGATCTAGGCACCCTCCAGATTTTTTGGAAGATTTATATAATTTATATTGTCAGAATCACCAATACAATCTGAAGGGGGCCTGGGTCATTCTGGAGGAGACTAGGCATCCTAGGCACCCTCATTAGTAACGTCAATGTTTGTTTTGTTATTAAGGTGACCATTTTTATGTTGGGTGGCCCAAAAGATCATGTATTTTTCAAAAATGACTTTTTTAAACGATTGGGCTGATTTCAAATATCAAAATATTAAATGGAAGGTTATTAAAAATTCTTTTAGTAATAAATAAAAGAAAATATATTAAGCAAATTACAGATTAAGTTGTGAAAAACATTGATATTGATTTGTTTTTATGGTTTGTACACACTAATCCAATGTAGAGTAAGGTTTTACTGGATTTTTGAATTGCGGAACTGTTCGGTAAAACTTAAAAAATCTGTGGAAAATCCAAAAATGAGAAAATTTATTCCGAGTTTGTGCAGACTTAGTTCTGTTAACCCCATTTAATGGTTGAAAATAAAATTTATCAATTTAATTCATTCCTTACGGTCATTTGAATTTTTACCGACTTTTTCAGCAATTCAAAAACCCATTTAAAAATACTGACTCCTGTAAAATAATCTAAGTGTGTAGACTTTTTTACACATTATATCACAGAATCAGCAATGTGTTTTTTTTTTCTTTTTTGTGTTGAATTTTTTTTGAAGTTATCAATTTTTGGGTTTTAGCTCAATACTACTATGCGACTAGACTACCATGCGTCGTGACCATGTTACAGTAGCTATAAATCGTTTATATTTTTTTCTAAAAATATGTTTAATTACCTTTCATTTGATATTTTGATCTTTGACATCGGCCCATTGGTTCAAAAGTTATGAATCTAAAAAAGAAATTTAAAAAAAATGTGTGGACCGCCCAAACATGGAAATGGTTACCCTTATGACAAAAAATAATACTGGTCACATATTTTGCGATTAGAAAAAAAAACTACCAATTTTTACAAAATTCTGAGAACTTGAAAACGTTTTTTTTTTAATTAACCACCGAAGGCAACGAAAGTGTTTTTATTTTCTTCTTTGACATAGATGAAGAGTTGAAGACAAATCATGACAACATTAAAGACAAAGTTGACAGAACCCACAAATGGCTGTTGCCCTGCTTGATTTTCCCGGTAAAATCAATCATGATAGCGGTCATTTATGGATTCTATAAAGTCCTTAAGAGCAATCAACTTTATGGTGATACAATAAAGTTACATTTAGATGACACTCCGACATATCTAACATTCATTCGTGCTGGTAAAAATGCAAAGAAACCTGTTAGTTTCTGATTTTGGTCGTCCACATAATATATTAAAAAAAAATCCAACCTAAACGTCACCACCCAAATCGTTAATGTGAAGCCGTGCTAAGAATAGTCCAGATTGATTAATCACATTCAATTGAAATGTCAACCATGCCATGTGCTGCACACGTCTGCCGGTCGTAGCCGAATAAGTAAAAGTAAAATCCGCGATAATTCAAGTTCGTTTTCAGCAGCGTCGGGGAGTGGGAAGAAGCAAGGAAGAACTTGTCAATTCCGAAAAAAATCATAACAATATAAAAACCAAACACCAGTGGGAGTATAATTATAGTTCGATTGCGAATTTCAACCAGTACACAGTACCATCACCCCAAAATAATCAAAATGTTCACTAAATTGGTAAGATTTGTTTAGAACGAGTTCTTAATAGACCTGGATCATTAATTTGTTCAATCCCATTCTAGATCTGCATCGCCGCCCTGGCCATCTCGTGCGTTTGCGCCAAACCGGGAGTCGTCGCTCCGGTTGCCTACTCTGCCCCGTTGTTCGCTGCACCAGCTCCCGCTTTCGCAACTGCTCAGAGCTCTCAGGTCATCGCTCGTAACTACAACGGAGTCGCTCCTCTGGCTTACACCGCCGCCGTGGCTTCCCCAGTGGCTTATACTGCTGCTGCCGCTCCTCTGGCCTACACTGCTGCCGCTGCTGCTCCATTTGCCCGTGGCTTTGCTGCTCCCTACACCGCCCCCTACGCTGCCCCCTACGCCGCCGCTTATGCCGCTCCCTACGCTGCTCCTTATGCCGCTCCATTTGCATCCCCATATGCTGCCTACCCCTATAGCCAGTATGTTCTGTAAATGATTCGGCTACTATAAGGATATTATATTTATGTGATACAATCGACACTTTTTTTGTTACCGTTGCAAAAGAATGTTCCGATCCAGGAAATACAAATCATTGTGAGACAAACGAATCTACAAACAAATGCGTGTTTATTTCTGAATATTTAAAATCTTTCTACTCCCTACACTCAAAAAAATTCCACACGTTTGATCGAAGTGTTTAAACACTTGATTTTTTTTTTAAATGCACAATCACATTTACTTAAAGTGTATTTCTCCTTGGTTCTATGTGTTATACACGTTAATTTATAGTGTTTCAAACTTTGAAATTTTGAAAATCTTTCACTATCAATTCTAGTGTATTGTACATTGAATCACACTACTGTTCAAAAGATATAAATTTAAAATGTTTTGCATTTCAATGCGATGTGAATTGCTTGCTCATAAAAGTAAACATCGAAAACAAGACTTGTGACTTTATCCTATCAACCCGCCTCATATATGAGAACAACCGTGGCACAGTGAGATCGAACGAAGAATTCGGCAGCTGCATACCCCAACAGTTCATGATCGAATCCCAAATCAGACCCATTGAAAAGATATGTGAAAGCTCTGGACTCTGGCAGTTTTGTTTATATAATTGTCGATTCATTTTTAGAGTCGGTAAAGTAGAAGTCGATAAAGTAGAATATTGAACTATGATGTGCAAAGCTATTGATGTCACCAAATGAGGCACATAGAATCCTAGTGTGTCACAATTCAAATCCATAGTGTTCAGACATGATTCAAAGCATAAGATTCACACATGAAATGGATGTGTTTCACAGTAAGCGCAAAATTAAGTGTGAGACACATGATGATGACGTGTGGACTTTTTTGAGTGTAGTAAATTGAACGTTTAGCTTGCTCTCAACTCAGTGTTATTTTTAGCACATCCAAAGTTGTTCATTGAGAGCTCTTTCACAAAGAAAGGGCAGTGACCCTTGACCTTTGAGTTTTCAAACGGAAAAATTACTTTCTGATTCATCATGCAAAACTATGACGATCTATAAAATATGAGCGGTGATGGAGCAAACACGGGAAAAAATCCGATTCCATTTTCATGAATAAATACAATGAAAACAAAAAACTTGCCATCCCATGAAATCATAACAATGATTCATGATTTCGTTATGGAAATTCATGATTTCATAATGCCGCGGAATCATGACCGCTTCAAGCGTTACCTGGAACACCGTGTTCACCGCACTACATAGGTATCTCTTATACGGCTTTTGCCTTCCAACTTATACAAGTACTGATAGTCTAGTGGTTAAAGTATGGGTTGAATGATCGTAAGGTTCTTGGTTCAAATTCAGTCTGTTGCTTTATTTTTATTTAAATATGTTTTGCTTAAAAACTAAAAGTTAAACTCGTGAATTTAGTTCATGATTTTAACTCGGAAGATTCATGATTTCGGGAATCTTGGGTGCGTTGCGCAAACATATCTCATGATATCGTGAATATTATTCATGGTGTATTTTGATAACATGAAAATACGCTATGTTCATGAAATCATGAGTCATTTTTCTCATTTCGGACTTTTGCCTGGGGGAGTTCTGAATTTTGCCACTTTTTATATTTCAATGTTTATTGTATTTATAAATTGAAATATTTATGTAATCATACATGCAAAAAATTATCATGAATTTGAGAAAGCGTATAAGTCACATTTTTATCAAAAAGACCGTTAAGCAGATTTTGTATCCGCTTAAATTACACCTCTCCTACAAATATAAGAAATATGAATTTGTAGAGCAACCGCATGTGACCTCAGTTTATTGTTGCTGTTTTCCAGCATTTGTATCAAGTGGAGTTATGAGGTTTCTAAAATAAAGGATTCCATGTGAGGGTGGATTTATGAAATCCTCTGTTCGTATTTCTTGCAAAATAAATGTAATTGCAGTTCTTACAACGTACTGCTGTAGGGTACAAGCAAGTTTTGTCGGAATGAAAATTTTCGTATAAAACCATCACAAGATGATATATAGTACTTTGTATGGATAAAATAGTTATATTAAATTTAGGGAACTATTTAAAAAAACCTTCTGACGACCATTTTACATGATCTGTTCACATGGTGAAACATTTCAAATTATATACATCGTTTATGTCAATTTGAAATAAATCCGAACAATTCGCAACTAAATAACATTCTAAGAATTTTATTATCAGCGCCATTTTGAAATTCCATCTTCATTTCTTTCATGTTTAAGTGTTCCTAAAGGAAAATGCAAAAATGCCGCTTGAAAATGGTTTCTTTTAAGTTTTCTTCGGTTGAAACCAGGGAATTTCTGGCTTGATTTAGCCGATACTTTGTCGGTTTTCCTTCAATCCGTACTTCTCAGCGCTATCGACTTATTACAGTTTTTTTACGTAGGATTACGTCTTTTGGCAACATATTGGGGGTGCAATTAAAAAAAAAAAAAACAAAATTGTCCGCATTACGAAAAGTGGTCAGGTTTTGACCGCTTATAAATCTGTCAATAGTGGATGGATTTTAAATCTAAACAAGCCAATCGATTAGAAATTTTGCTACAAATCTGTTAAATTGAACACTTTATCATTTTTCAATAGGTCACTACTGAAAATTACAAAAAATCCAACTGTTGCAACTTGCAATAGTGTTAAAAACTATCACCGATTTCCTGCAAACAGACACCTAACACAGATTTCAAAATCGAGTTCCATCTGGTCTCACTGAACGGTGCTTATTCAATCACTATGTGTGACGGTGTCCAGTCGGTCGTGGTCAGCAGCAGCAGTAGCAGCAGCAGCAGTAGCAGCAGCAGCAGTAGCAGCAGCAGCAGCAGTACTTGCAGCGCGTGGCGTTGAACATTGTACACAACGAAAGGCTGCCCACAAGCAGCGAGCTGCAGCCCACATGAGCTTCCATTCACACATTCAAGGAGGAAGAAGCCACACCGCTACTGATCGGAATCAGCAGCTCTTCGTGAAGGCCATCTGTGCCAAGTACGTCACCCTCGTTCCAAACAACATACAGCCTCATCTGTGTTGAACACCCTAATAGCTCAGCATTGCTCAATCATCACAACAAAACGGTCCTTTTCAGGACCACCATCAATTTGAAAAAGAGTATTTTTTGAATATTAGTCATGGTCATCAATCGGATGTTAGTTCTCATATTTATAAATCTAACATACCACGTATTTTAAAGGCAAAATTGGAGGTGCAATTTCAAAAACCAAAGTCGGTCACGGCATGAAAGTGGTCTGATTTTGATTCAGAGATGATGGATTTTAATTAATAATTGATTAGGAAAATTGCACGAATGTTCAACTGATGCTCTGATAATAAAAATTGCCACCGATTGCCTGTGAAATTTCATCCGGTCTCACAAAACGCTGGTCATTCAATCACCGCGTGTGGTGAGTGATGGTTTTCACCAGTACCCAACAAAAGGCTCCCCGCAAGCAGCTAGCTATCAAGGCTGCTCTCATCCGCTGATCGGATTGCATCCCGACAAAACGGTCCTTTTCAGGATCACCATAAATTATTGTTGTTTAAGAGTTTATTTTTATTGAACGTTCGATCGCCTCACTGCCAGCCACGTTGTAACGGGTTGCTGGCCAAAAAGGTTCGTCTTTGGGTGTATCAACCTCTCCACTTTAGCGCCAAGCAAGCAAAGGAGTCACTTGCATGTGAAGAGGCTAGGTTTGCACGTGCCCGGCAAGACTCCTCAAGGCGAGTCCTTCAAATTACTACCCCGATTTCCGATCGTACCACAACTAACGCTTCACAATACGACCCCTAGATAATGTAATCAACGGGGACTTATATTTTCATACACTCTATATTTGGGTTTGAAAGGGGTTAGCTACTCGCCATCGGCTTAACAAATCAAATATCTACTGAATTCGTCTTGGTTGTCCCCTTTATTATGATCTAGAATTTTTCTAGAGCTATTCCGCGTGTGTTCTGCTTATCTTCTGGGTGTGTGTGTATTGATGCATTCTTATTTCTATTTATCGGATAAATGGACTGATCAAACCTGTTGTCCTCGGGACTGCCGTCATAAACTACCTCTCGCTGATTTTCTCCTCGAAAATCACTATAGCCGAGGCCCGCTTTTCTACTCGCGCGAGTGCTGCTTCGAGGCCAACGTGGGATGATCCGGCAATTGGCGTCCGATATACAACCCCGGAAGTAGTGGTGACTTCCGGTGGCCCGTAAGTGCGCTGGGGAATATCGCTAACCGGCCAACGAGACCAGCTACAAGCTGACGAGTTTTCTGACCTTCCCAGAGATCGCGTGGCATACGTGAATCCCCACACCTACCTTGACGAAACACCTTCGATTGAAGGATATTTGGTCCTTCATGTGAAAAGAACGCACCAACTACAATTTTGTTTTCTAAATTTTAAATTCCATCATTGAATATTTAACTGGACCTCGAGCAGAGTCTTTGGTGTGTTTTACCTTTTCTCTTTTAGAAACACGTTAGCCTATTTACATGCTAAGAACAAATTTTTAGGTAAGGCTACATTCAACAACATTAACCGAGAAACTCACTCGGCACGCGTGGGCCAATAATAACGTTCTCAACCACTTTTGATTTTTTTTTTTTTCAATTTTCCCGATTACTGAAATACAAGATTTTTTTTTACATATTTTCCTATGGTTGGTATCTCTATAAAACTCACTATAACTTTTTCGATTTGCTAAGAATCCTCACAATTAATAACTTTTCCACTAAGTTTTTTTTTAGACTACGTTCAACCACTATACCGATCAAAACGAGAAAGAATGGTAATTGAAGGTGGTCTTCATAGCAAAGAGTTACGCAACGCGGGGATCCCTACTAATACTATGACTTCAAAAAATTTCATATCATCGTTTCATCTTTAAAACATTGGCTATACTATCTGCGATCAAATCGGAGTAGCATGTCTTGCTTCACGATCGGATTCATATGAGCGTTTCCAAAACTCGCTCATGGCACTACGATACATCGCTCTCCAACGGGGGAGTTTGGTAAAGTGAGATGATCAAACCGATTTGTACCTTCATAAAAGTTGTCCTTGCTCGCTTTTTAATCTCTATATACAATTTTCTCACAGCCGTACTCTACCGGAACTATCAACTCTATACTTTCATCTCCTCATCTATCTTAAAAAAATTACCTTTTTAGTCTGTCATTTGAAATTAGCATCTTCAACTATCTAAACGAGATGATTTTCTAGACGCAATGCATTTGGGGAAGCAAACTTTGTTCGATTAATAAGTTAACATACAAATTCCAAAATTATTTTAAAATCCTTTCGCTGATCACATTACAGAATCTGTTCATGTCGCGAAACATTGAAAATTCTGCATAATGTAATAGAATATTATCTTGGTACCCGGTGTAGCTTAAAACATGCAATTCAATGATCCGCACAATTAGCATAAAGCATTGAGCAATTGGTTGGTTGATTGTACTGAATCCCTTTTTCCCATTATGTGTACGCCCAACCGGGAAATGTTTCACTGCCTTGAAATGATGTTAAGTCAACGAGATTATGTGATTGACATACTTCAATCTAATTTAGCGACCAAAATTCTAACAAAGGTCTAAATTCCATCCTGGAACCTAATTCCACTAATCTGTGGCCACTAATATGTGGCATTTTTCCATTTTTGGTTCTATTGGGTTCAATAAAACATTAAATAATAACTTCATATATTATGTTATGCATTATATTTCATCGTCCTTAACAATGTAGTCAAACAATTGCACCTCAATCAATATGATTCCAGGCAAGCCATTTTGAAACTCCTCGCACATGTTTGCTTACAGCACGTATGGGCTGTAACGATAGGCAGCATATGGAGACGCGAATGGAGCGGCAAACGGAGCAGCATAAGCAGCGGCAGCAGTGTAGGCCAGAGGAGCCGAGTAAGCCAAAGGAGCAGCGACCTTGGCAACTGGAGCGGCGTAAGCCAATGGAGCAGCCACGGCGGCCGTATAAGCCAGGGGAGCAACTCCGTTGTAGTTACGAGCGATGACCTGCGAGCTCTGAGCTGTCACGAAAGCTGGAGCCGGAGCAGCGACCAAAGGAGCAGAGTAGGCAACCGGAGCGACGACTCCCGGTTTGGCACAGACGCACGAGATGGCCAGGGCGGCAATGCAGATCTAGAATGGAATGGAAACGGGTTATGTTTTGGGACTGTTAAGAATTTAATCATAACAAATCGTACCAGTTTGGTGAACATTTTGATTGCTTTTGGGTTGATCGTACTGTGTACAGATTGCGGATTGCGGTTGAAATATGATTCTGCTTTCATTGTACATGGATTTTTATATTAAAATTGGCCTGAGTAAGTTCTTGCTGCCCCCTCTCGGCAGTGTGCTGGTGAACTTGAAAGATCGCGATTTTCTTTTTTCGTTGTATGCGGAGCACACCGTGCGGTGCGAAAACATAGGATTGTTGTCATTTAAATTCGTTTTGCATATGGCCAATCGAATCGAATGCATGATGCAGCTGATTCAAATAAGTTTAAGTTGCACTGCAAACTGAATTCATTACACCGCTGTCGAACTTAGTCGGTGCTACTATCATGCATCATGCACTGCAAACTGAATTAATTATATAAGGGGATGCAAACCTCACATGTTATGCACAGCAAAAACTTTGTAAATTTATATGTGGCACATTGACATATTTTCTGGCCTTGGTGATACAGCAATAAATATTTAATTCTCCATGAAACTATTTAATAATACATTTTTTTCTGCTCGGGACCTAACACTACTGCAACCAGTAATTTGATCTATTGTAGTACATATATCCCGTGTCCTTAGTTTAGTGCATGTCGTATTACTCCATCACTTTTGAGAAATGATGAAGTATTCGATTTTTTGAGTGTTGAAACACCCTCCAAAGGCGCGCCCCTTTGTCAGTCAAATTGGATTCCTTAGCAACAAAATTAAGCAATGACACCGATAATGATCATGCATCATAACCCTAGTCTTAACCACTTCAAACTAGGGAACAACGAATAGAATATTAGGAATCACATAGATGAAGACTAACTATCTCATTTTTTCCTTGTTTTAAAATCATCCTCGGTGGACAAAGCCGAGTCTTGTCACTATCAACAAGGCATAAAAAGTAACTAGGACTGAGATGTGTTCCTTTGATTACTGAAAAATCCTATTCCCCTAGTTTTATTCAGGACTAGGAATCGGTGGTAGATCTTAAATCCCGTAACGTACCACGAAAAGGTGATCTACCCACGTTACGGTTAATAATACATTCTTTTGCATTGGATTTTACATGCATGCGTGTTTTTACATGGAAGTCAAAAGTTAAATTAAAAATGATTTAATTTAACAAGAACGTGTAAATTTCTGCTTTAATTCATTAAATGCCAGATCATTAAACGTGTAATTTTATATTAAAAAAGCTGCTCCAGTTGGTAGTTGCTAATTTCAAAAAATGGATCTTTTTAGTTAAGAAGGACTTCATACAAAGTGATTAATCTTCTTTTTCATTGATAATAACAAGAAGGTACACTTGGCTATTTGGGTGAGATCGTATCATGAATCAGTTTATAATTAATTGCTGCAGTGTTTCATAAACACTTTTTTTATAACACAACTGTCCACATCCTGAATCAAGATTCCCTTCCTTTTCTCAAGCAGATACTGGACATATTTCTTGCCTTTTTCCTACCTGTGTGGGAGTGTAAGATGCAGTTCTTTTTTAACAAGTTTTATTCGGAAGGGGAAATGGCACGAATGTTGGCCTATGGAACTAAAGATTGGGCCAATCGATAAAAATCTCCTGTTCTTCAATTTTCCGTAGAACAATATATCATCTGGAACATGCAAATATTTGAGATTGCTGGTAAAACATTGTCAAAAACTGATTTTCTGCGGCATTAATGTATGGGCCCAATATTAGGGACATTAAGGCTGTGGTGCACGAAATAAAAGGCGTTCCCATTTTTTGTCAAATTAAATACGGTGCGCATATAATTCTATGCTTACGTGACCGCTATGCTGTATCGAGGTACCACGCCACGGCAAGTGCACTTCAGTTCAATCAATCGCTGAGTACAATATTCTATACGCGAAATATTGATTATTTTGTCACGCTGACCTCAGCATTAGTCGCTTCAGAAGTCTCCCCATTAGAACCCGTCCAAATGCACAATGTAGCGCAACATAGGGCCACCTATTTAAGGCCAACGAAATTGATTAATAAACCAGTTGTGTTCTGAAGTCTATTCAGTACACTGAAACCTCCGTTTACGAAGTCTTTTTTACGCAATATTCAATTTACGCCCCTCTGTTTACGAAGTAAATTCCAAATAACGAGTTTTTTTGTAATTTTGGGAAACTGGGATAGGGTTTTTGATCTAATTTCCGTCCTACTAAGCACAACCCGAGCTTTACCTCTCTTTTCTGAACGAGTTTAAACAAAAAATGGAATATTTATGTCAAAGATGACTTCTAAATTTATTCACCTTTCCATACGTACCGTTGGATTTGATAAAGAGTCACAAATTGTTGAGATATTGTTTAAAATCTAACACTGCTTCTTGATTCTAAATTCGTTCTACGAGTTTCAATTCCGTCCTAATGCATTGAAATGCATTAGATTTTCTTCGTCCTACGGATAAACGTAGAAAAAGGGGATTCGCTAGGAGCGCTTCTTTTGTTTTGAGAACAATGAGCGTAAATATGCATACAATGCGCTCTAACAGGGTTTATGTTGTAGCTATTAAACTAACGCATCGGAACAAACCTATCATTGATTTCTGCACGGTGAAATCATTGATATTATTGATCTTTTCTTATTGATAGAACGGAAATGGGCGATAACGACGAAGTAGCGCTCTACCCTATACTGTGAAATCTATGTCTGACGCCATTTTTAAATCCAAAATGGCGACTTCGGGTTACATAAAAACTTGGAAATTCTGCCGAATACCCCAGAAATGGGTATTTTTGGAATCGGAGTAATGTTTAGGGACCGGAAATCAATGTCTGTCACCAATTTGAAATCCAAGATGGCGGCTTCCGGATACAGAAAAACTGGGACATTTTGCCAAATACCACATAATTTGGTTATTTTTGGAATCAGTTTGATTTGCAGGGACCATAAATCGATATCTGATGCCATTTTGAAATCCAAGATGGTGGCTTCCGGTTACATAAAAACTTGTAAATTGTGTCAAATACCCTACAATATGGGTATTTTTGAAATCGGAGTGACTTGTAGGGACCGGAAATCGATGTGTGACGCTATTTTGAAATCCAAGATGGTGGCTACCGGTTACAAGAAAAAAATGGAAATTCTGGCAGTCCGCATCGTGCTCTCTTGCCGTGCGGATCTATTTGCTATTTGCTTAAGGAAGTGTTACTACTACTTAAAGCTACAACAAATTTAAACAGCACTTTTCAGTGCTCAACCTGTAAAAATTTTCTACCTTGTTCAACTCTTATTCCTCTTCGATCCTTGTTTGGACCCTACCCGAGGTAATCCTTCTTGGATATCGATTTGGAAAATTCCTCTTCGATCCTTCAGATTCTTATAGTAATCTGCTTGGAAGTCAATTTGGATAAAAAATTTACTGCCGCCATGACGCCTAAACGCAAAAGAAAGGGGCAAACTCTTGACCCCCCTTCTGAAGAAATTAATTTGAGTAATCAATTTGATTTGCTCACGGATGATGAGAATGATCCATCTTCCAAGAAAAATTCTAGTAAACTTTCCCGGCTTAATGCCAAGAAGGAAAAGATTCCCCCTATTGTGATAACCACTACCGATTTCCATGCTTTTCGCATGGAACTTTTGAATTTCGTGAAAGTTAAGTTTTCACTACAAATTGGACGTCGGGGTGAATGCCGTGTATTGGCTGAAACCTTGGACGGATTTAAATGTCTTCTCAAATATCTTACTGAGAAGAAGCACAATTTTTTTACTTACGACACCAAAACTGAACGTGTGTTCAAGGTTGTCATGAAAGGACTGCCCAGTGGTGAATCCCTGGATCAGATCAAAGATGAACTGGCAAAATTACTTGGAGTTGTGCCACTCCAAGTAATCAAAATGAAAATGAAATCCCGTCCTGGCGATTCCCGCAACGGGATTTCTAATGATTTTTATTTAGTTCACTTCAAGTCTAGTGAACTAAACAACCTTAAGGCCTTAGAAAAAGCTAGCCTTATGCTCCATGTCCGAGTGAAGTGGGAACACTTCAGGAAGACTGGAGGAAATTTCCAAAACCTCACTCAGTGCCGTAAGTGCCAGGGATGGGGGTCACGGAACTAAAAATTGCTACATGCCAGCTAAATGCATGAATTGTGGTGATTCCTCTCACGCAAAGGACGACTGTCCTGTGAAGGAAGATCCTAAGAAATTTAAATGTTCAAATTGTGGTGAAAACCACAAATCCAATTTTTGGGAATGTAAGACTCGCAAAGCGATCCTACAATCTCGTTCTAACCGTCAGGTAGGAAACGCTCCACGTTTCCGAACAGGTACAAATTCCTCTGCTGTTAACAACGGTCAGCGAGGAACACATTCTACATTCGTACCCGTAGATACAAATATCACCCCTGCTTCAAATGTTTCATCTGTACCTACTCCCCTCGCTGCTAACAATGTTCAGCGAGTTAATGGAGCTACCTATGCTGCTATTGCAGCGGGTAGAAATCAAAATACTAACCAACGTTCTAACGGAAATTTTGACAATTTTGACTTAGGAAGCATTACTGCTCCTAAAATGGAATTTTTACAGAATTCATTAATTGACATGATTTCTGATATGCTTAAATCTAACTCCATGTTTGATGCTATTCAAACTGGAGTAAAATTTGCAAATAGCATTGTCATGACTTTAAAATTCAGTTATGGATTTTAAAGCATTAAATATTGTAAATTGGAATGCTCGATCTATTAAAGATAATGAAGACGAGCTATTTAATTTTTTGAGAGTTCATAACGTGCATATTGCCGTTATAACTGAAACGTTCCTTAAACCTTCTTCTTCTTCTTCTTCTTCTTCGCATTTCAAGCTTATTGCTTATCGCATTTTAGCTTATTGCGTGCTCTCAACTTAGTGTTCTAGATGCACTTCCACAGTTATTAATTGAGAGCTTTCGATGCCTGTACCATTTTTGCATTAGTATAATTGTGTGGCAAGTACAATCATACTCTATGCCCAGGGAAGTCGAGAAATTTTCCAACTCGAAAAATTCCTAGACCGGACCGGGAATCGAACCCAGCCACCTCCAGCATGGTCTTGCTTTGTAGCTGCGCCTTTACTGACTGAGCTAAGGGAGGTTCCTTAAACCTGGCCATAAGGTTAAGAAGGACTCAAATTACTTGATTTATAGAAATGATCGTCTTGATGGACCCTGTGGTGGCGTTGCCATCATTATTCATAGACGAATCAAACACAAAATACTTTCTTCATTTGAAACCAAAGTTTTTGAAACTTTGGGAGTTTCTGTTGAAACAAAATTTGGACAACTTACGTTTATAGCTGCCTATTTGCCATTCCAATGCGTAGGCCAGCAAAAAAAATTTCTCAAGGGTGACCTTCAGAAACTTACCCGTCATAGGTCTAAATTCTTCATTATTGGTGATTTTAATGCAAAACACCGCTCATGGAATAATGCTCAAAGCAATTCCAATGGTAATATTCTGTTTGATGATTGTTCTGCAGGTTATTACACTATTCAATATCCAAACAGCCCAACATGCTTTTCTTCTGCAAGAAATCCCTCAACTATTGATTTGGTCTTAACTGATTCATGTCATCTTTGTAGCCAATTGGTTACCCATGCTGACTTCGGTTCTGATTACCTTCCAGTAACTTTTGAAATATCCCAAGAAATAATTTTTAATCCCAACAGCTTTACTTTCAATTACCATAGGGCTGATTGGGAGCAATATCGAACATTTATGGAATATAACTTCGATCCAAACATTCCTTTGCAAACCAAAGATGAAATTAATTATGCTCTTGAATCTCTGACTACTTCTATACTTGAAGCAAGAGCTGCCTCAGTACCAAAATGCGAGGTTAAATTCGATTCAATTATAATAGACGATGATCTACAGCTCTTGATCCGTCTTAAAAATGTCCGTAGGAGACAATTTCAAAGAACACGCGATCCTGCCATGAAAGTTATGTGGCGGGATTTGCAAAAACAAATTAAAAAGCGATTCTCTGCCCTGAGGAACAAAACTTTTGAAAATAATGTTTCTACATTAGACCCGAGTTCCAAACCCTTTTGGAAACTCACAAAAATTTTGAAAAAACCTCAAAAGCCTATTCCAGCGCTTAAAGAAGGTGGTAAAATTTTGATCACAAATTTGGAAAAAGCTCAGAAACTTGCTAAGCAATTCGAGAGTTCCCATAATTTCAGTTTGGGTCTTACTAGTCCTATTGAGAATCAGGTTGCTCGGGATTTTCTGAATATTTTCTCTCGGGAAAATATTTTTGATGATTCCTGGGACGATTTGGACGAAGTAAGGTCTATAACTAAAAAATTTCAAAATATGAAAGCTCCAGGTGATGATGGAATTTTCTATATCCTCATCAAAAAACTCCCAGAGAGTACCTTGTCTTTCCTGGTAAAATTATTTAACAGATGTTTCCATTTGGCATACTTTCCTGATAAATGGAAAAATGCAAAAGTTGTTCCAATTTTGAAGCCGGATAAAAATCCAGCTGAAGCTTCTAGCTACCGTCCAATAAGTTTGCTTTCTTCAATAAGTAACCTTTTTGAAAAAATAATTTTGAATAGAATGATGCTTCACATCAATACGAACTCAATTTTTGCAGATGAGCAGTTTGGATTTCGCCATGGGCATTCAACTACTCATCAACTCTTAAGAGTTACCAATTTAATTCGTTCAAACAAATCTGAAGGCCACTCAACTGGAGTTGCTCTTCTAGACATAGAAAAAGCATTCGACAGTGTTTGGCATGAAGGTTTGATTGTTAAATTGAAAAAGTTTAATTTTCCACTTTACATTATGAAATTAGTTCAGAATTATTTAACTGACAGAACTCTGCAGGTAAATTATCAAAATTCCAAATCTAATCGACTACCTGTTAGGGCAGGAGTTCCTCAGGGTAGCATTCTTGGGCCTATATTGTATAACATTTTCACTTCGGACCTCCCTGATTTGCCTCAGGGTTGCCACAAATCTTTGTTCGCTGATGACACAGGCATTTCCGCTAAAGGAAGAAGTCTTCGTGTTATTTGCAGCAGACTTCAGAAAAGTTTAGATATTTTCTCTTCTTATTTACAAAAATGGAAGATTTCTCCCAACGCTTCCAAAACTCAACTTATAATATTTCCACATAAGCCCAGGGCTTCCTTTTTGAAACCTAGTAGTAGTCACATAGTCACTATGAACGGAGTTCCAATTTCCTGGTCAAACCAAGTGAAATATCTTGGATTAATACTTGACCATAAATTAACTTTTAAAGATCACATTGAGGGCATTCAAGCCAAATGTAACAAATATATAAAATGTTTGTATCGTCTTATAAACAGGAAATCCAAACTTTGCCTGACGAATAAACTTCTAATATTTAAACAAGTTTTTAGACCGGCCATGCTTTACGCTGTGGCAATATGGTCTAGTTGTTGCACTACCAGGAAAAAAGCACTTCAAAGGATTCAGAACAAAATTCTGAAGATGATTTTGAAGTTGCCTCCCTGGTACAGTACTACCGAAGTACATAGAATTTCGAATGTTGAGACTTTAGCACAAATGTCCAACAAAATAATTAATAATTTCCGGCAAAAATCGTTACAATCCTCAATTGCAACGATTAATTCCCTTTATACTTAGATAAGATTTAGTTTTAGTTATTTAGTTTTAAGCTATCAATTGCTATACTGACATGCAGGTTTAAAAAACCTGTTTAAAATACTGAATTGCCAAGACAGGAACAATGTAAAAACACTTAGATATATATCATAACAATTAAGGATGGTAAGTTACTGTAGTAACTGGAGCACCTAGGTTAAAAATGAAATGTAATTTATTTTGAATTTGGAACAAATAAAGAGTTAAAAAAAAAATGGAAATTCTGTAAATACCACCCCACAATATGGGTATTTTTGGAATCGGAGTGACGTGTAGGGACCGGAATTCAATGTCTGACGCCATTTTTAAATCCAAGATGGCAACTTCCGGTTACAGAAAAACTTGGACCCATATTGTGGTGTATATGACAGAATTTCCAAGTTTTTATGTAACCGGAAGCCACCATCTTGGTTTCCAAAATGGTGCAATACATCGATTTCCAGTCCCTACACGACACTCAGATTCCAAAAATACCCATATTGTGGGGTATTTGACAGAATTTCGAAGTGTTCTTGTTACCGGAAGCCGCCATCTTGGATTTCAAAATGGTGTCAGACATCGATTTCCGGTCCCTACACGTGTCACTACGATTCCAAAAATACCCATATTGTGGGTGGTATTTGACAGAATTTCCATGTTTTCCTGTAACCGGAAGCCTTCATTTTGGATTTCAAAATGGCATCACACATCGATTTCCGGTCCCTATACGTCACCCTGATTCCAAAAATACGCATATTGTGGGGTATTTGCCAATATTTTCAAAAACCTATTTTTACGAAGTGAAAGCCGGAAGTCCACCGCCGTCGAAGCCAATCTTTGTGAAGATGGATTTACAATAACAGACTTTCTATCATAAGGCCAACATTAGGAACATCAACTCTATGTAGGGAATATCAATCATCTAGCCCGTAACTGAAACGAGGATAGGTCACAAGGGGCATTATGGTGGTCAATCTCTGGTTCTAGTCTCTTTGTGTTCTTTGATATGAGACTCGGTTTTCCCAGTATTCATTCAGACGATGTTTGGACTAGGGTTTCTAATCCCTTTTCCTACTTCGTTTTCTTTCGTTCTTCTCTTGTCAGAAAGCGATTAATGGCGCTATAACCATAAGCTGCATACTAGAGTTAGTGCTCATGTTCCGACCGCCAGAGGAAAATGAAGCATGCTTCCAACGATCAACCATTTTTTAAATAACGAACAACCCTTTAAATTACAAAGCAACGAAACTTACGGATCGATATGTCTACGTTTAAGCCATATATTGGATTCTAAACAAGCCCGATGTTTTCTGAATCACCTTGCCCCTTAAATACCGCACAGTAGGCCCATTGAGATAACTCTAAGACTAGTAGGTCCCGAAGAAACGTGCTCAACTTTTTGGCTCAGCTCTGGTACTATCTTCGGTCCCAAGCTAATCGATTCACCCCTCGAAACATAGGAAAATCCACTAACCCCTCATTTCATCTGTCAAACTTTCATAGCGAATCAAAACTAACATTGTGTAGTACTAGAATTTCAACTAGAATGGGGTACGTTAATCGATTTGCTTGGGACCAATCGGCTAGTCAAGTAGTAAGCCAATTTAAAATCGATAGTTTCGTATTGAATGTTGGTAGGCCTGGCCGTTTTGATTTGTGTTGCGCAGGTGGCGCATCTTTCATGTGCAACATATATCGAATAGATAAGAAAACATGCTGGAGGTATATCCATCATTTTCCAAGATGTTTTCAAGAGCTGAGTGTGTTGGTGTTCGATTATTTTAGATCAGATTGGGTCAAATCCAACCAGTTCACATTTCTTTTATCCTAGAACCCTCTCTTTTGTGAACGAAAGCTGCCAATACTCCCTATCAATGACCAATTGACCCGCTTATCTTCGGGCATCGATTCAGCCAGCCTGCGTCGGGAGCGAATTTGAGAAACTTGACAATAAGAAGAAGAAAACGACCATGCTTAATTGTCTCATCAAGATTTATATTTCATCACACTGAAATCACTTCTGCAAGAATTTCACCACAAGCATCGGCTGCAGCGATTCTAGCAATCACAGTATCACATATTCGGTAATCGTCCTTATGAGTTCGATCAACAATATTTACAGCACGTATGAGCTATAAGGGTAGGTGGCATATGGAGACGCAAATGGAGCGGCATATGGGGCGGCATATGGAGCGGCATAAGCAGCAGCATAAGCAGGGGCAGCAGTGTAGGCCAGAGGACCAGCAGCAGCTAATGCTGGGGCAGAGTAAGCCAACGGAGCAGCCACGCCGGCGGTGTAAGCCAGAGGAGCAACTCCGTTGTAGTTACGAGCGATGACCTGGGAGCTCTGGGCAGTCGCGAAAGCTGGAGCCGGTGCAGCGAACAACGGGGCAGAGTAGGCAACCGGAGCGACGACTCCCGGTTTGGCACATACGCACGAGATGGCAAGGGCAGCGATGCAGATCTAGAATGGGATTGAACAAATTATTAATCTTAGGCTGGCCTGAACCTAATCTTACCAAATCGTACCAATTTGGCGAACATTTTGAATGATTTGGGATTGGTTGTGTTGTGTACTGCGTGAAGATTGCAATTGAACTGTGGTTCTATTTCAATTAAAGATTGATATTTATATTTTCCGATATTCTTGTTCGCTTCTTCCCTTTCCCACGCAGCAATTGTCCAGCATTGAAATTGAGCTTGATTGTGACGCGATTTTCGTTTTGCTTTGTTGCTATCTCCCCGGCGCCGGCTTCGAAACATATAGAGTGGCAGGTGTGGCATTGGGGAAATTTAAATTTATTTTGAGGATGATATCGATATAACGTAACTGCCACTTGTCACTTCCATCGTCTATTTCTCGCAAATATTAACCCAATTACACAAATCATGATTACCCATCGATGGAAGATAGGCCCCTCTGTCCGATGGATCTATCATTACCGATAAATGGAAGATAGGCCCCTTTGGTTCGATGATTGAATGGTCGTTTGCGAGACATCGGTGATGGAAGTGAAAAGTGACAGTTACTTTATATCTAGGTATACCTATATTGCTAGTAGTAGCTGTACAATGATGTATGTATGTGTGTGAGTGACAAATAGCATATCTGGTTATTGCAAAGGATCAGATAATATGATTAGAAAATATTATGTTTGCATAACACGCATAACACAAGGTACAGTCTGACATGACCTCGCTTGTCTTGTGAATAAATGAGCTTTCGAACGTTTATAAATCCAAAATAACTATATCCAAAAGCTGTTTCTCATCCGATACTTCGGTGAAATAATCATGGTCAGCAAACAACTTGAATTAATCACATTTTAAATAAATGTAAAAACCAATATGCAGATACCCGTGCATCCCAATGTCACTTATCAATTACGAAAACTAGGTTTCCTAACATAACATCATCAAAATCCCAACTCAAACCCAAGTGAGAGAGGGAAGAAGCAAGCAAGAAATTGTTCATTTTGAAAAACCAATCCAACATATAAATCACGCCTCCGTAGTGGTAGGATCATAGTTCAAATACACTCTTCAAACAGTACACAGCTGTCCACAACCAATTTTCAAGATGTTCACCAAATTGGTACAATTGACTCAGAATTACTTTCATCATCAAGTTCAATAATTTGACCTCTTCCAATTTTAGATCTGCATTGCCACCCTGGCCATTTCGTGCGTTTGTGCTGCGCCAGGATATGCTCCCGTTGCCTACTCTGCCCCACTGGTGGCGGCTCCAGCTCAAGGTGTCCTGACCACCCAGAGTGCCCAGGTCGTCGGCCGCAGTTACGCAGGAATTGCTCCTCTGGCCTACGGTGCACCCGTTGCTGCTTCATTGGCATACTCTGCCCCAGCCGTGGCTGCTGTCGCTCCTCTGGCCTACAGTGCTGCTGCTGTTACTCCATTCGCTCGTGCCATCGCTTCTCCCTACGCTGCTGCCTACTCCGCAGCTCCTTATGCCGCTCCGTTCGCATCTCCATATGCTGCCTATCGTTACAGCCCGTACGTGCTGTAAATAGTTGATTGCTTAATTTAAGAAATAGATGAGCCATATATGTTGTAGAAATAATTGTGATTTGTTGCTGCAGTATTTATAAAAAAAATGTTATCAAATATAGATAATACATTGGCAATTGAATTTCATTCTTTTAATCTTCCAAAAAATAACTATGATGACATTTAAAACAGGAATACAGGATATTTTTTCATCTCAATTTTAAACAAAGATAGTTCTGCAAGGCATGTTGATGATGATAGCACATGGTCTGATTGGCATAGTCCGTTTTAAAAGACAAAACAATAGACCTTACAAAATACAACGGGGTTGTGAACGGTCTGAAACACTAGCTTCGGGTTTAGTCAAAAAAAAAATTGAACCATGCGTCCCCATTGCTGTCCGAATCGATAAGGGACTGTTCATAGACCACTTAAGGAGTTAAAGGGCCTCCCTTAGCTCAGTCGGTAAAAACGCAGCTACAAAGCAAGACCATGCTGGAGGTGACTGGATTCAATTCCCGGTCCGGTCAAGGAATTTTTTAGTTGGAAAATCTCTCGATTTCCCTGGGCATACAATATGACTGGACTTGCTTGCCACACAATTATACTAATGCAAAAATGGTACAGGCATCAAAAGCTCTTAATTAATAACTATGGAAGTGCATCTAGAACGCTAAAGCTTTCTAAAGTTTCTCGGTCGCAGTTTGTCTGCTACAAACTTGTCAATATTCGACTGTTGAAAATTTGTCTGGAAACGTGATAACTCTATAGTATACTACAATTTAAGTGACTGTCAACAGACAATATTTTTGCAGTTATTTTCTTTGAATGTGACATAGGTTTCCTCATTCAACCACTAATGGGTCAATGTTCGATCTTTATGCTTGCCAGTTTTTGGCTCACTGCTTAAATGTTCACTGCAACTGTCCATTTTCACGTCACTTGTGATTACACAACCAAATGCTTTCTGATCCAAACCAGCCAACACGGTAATCGCAATATACCCAATAATAGCATAGCATAGCATAGCATAAACCAGGTTGCACAATGTCGTAGGTGGTACGAGCTCCAAACTGTTGTTAATAAGGAGACCCACCTTCATCCGTTGCTGTTAGATAGTAATTTATGATTAATTACTATCACTTAGATAAAGGATGTGTCTCCCTCCTACAGACCAGAGCTGTCCTGGCCATGTCCTTGCATCTGATGGGGAAAGGGGAGGAATGTTAGTCTGACACTTACTTAAGAGAGATGCAGAGAACTCTACGACCCTTCATAAGTGTCACGGGAAGGGTGGATTTTTGTTAGTACACGCAAACCAAAAATCTATTACAATGAATGTTAGTTCCGTTTCCTATCATCCTCTGTTCATGAACATCGCAGCGAATGTTAGAAGTTGACCTTACAGGCGATGTAATGGTTTTTTGTCTTTTTCATTTCGTGTTCTTTCTACACTTTCGACTATACCAGTAAGCTTGTAGAACGACGCACATTGTAGAACATTGTAGAACGACGCACACACTTATCTCGAATCTCTCCAGCAGAAAAAGCATACGAAGTCGAGCATGCGAGAAAATGAGCGTTTCATGTTTGCTTTTAGGCTGACCATATTCAGAAGCATGGAGAGAGTAGTGGAGAAAGTACAGGTCTGATAGTCGCAACGTCCGTGGTTCGAGTCCAGTCGGCAACCTTTTTTCTATTTTTTTCGACATAATTAATTTCAGTCACTAATACAACTCCACATTTTTCGGTCTCCAATTTTCTTACATCGGACCGCAGCTAGGTATATCGCATCCTCGGTTCATGCGGTCTCCACTTACATCCTCTGATGATGAATCCCACATAATTGTAAGCGAATCTTACATCCACCGGTTGGGTGTAGGGAGGGTAAGCCATAGGATACGCCCAGCCGGCGTTGCTGGCAATCGTTAAATCAAGCATTTAATAAATAGATGCTGTAAGTAGTTTATCAGTCCGTTGTGGCTGCCCATTACCTAAACATATTATTCAAAACAGATTTTGGAATTAAGAAACGTTATCAGCTAGATCCTGTTGCTCCTTTGCGCCTGAAAATGTTTGTTGAACCTAAACACATGCACAATTCATTCTGATGTGTAAAAGGTTATTAATAGTATGTGGAATCGTAGATGAGAATGAAGATTCGCCCTTGGGCTAACTCCCACTGTCTGGCAGTGGTATTATGGATAAAATCTGCCTGCAATCATTTCTTATGATTACAAAGAAGCTTGAACCCGGGAGTTGGAAGGTGACAACTCTACCGCAGCTAAAATAGCCCATTTCAAGATCGCAAGCATTCCGAAGCTATTTTCACACATGATAAGCCCCGCTCCAATACATTATCGATGCAAATATTAACCATTGATAATGTACTTAAACTTTCAATCAAGCAGTAAACAAATACTTGACTGACACATATTTAGTAAGTAGTTATCATTTAATGGATTGTCCCAGTTTTCTAAAATGTTTACTTTGTTCTCAATATTGAAAAAAATGTTACCATGAAATCGAACACTGGAAATAAAACGCAAACAATCTGCCGAATGTCAAAATATCTGTGTTCTACAGAACATTCGCAGATAAAAAATTGCAAGAATTTGTCAACAGACCATGATCACTCTGTCACAGATAATCTGTAGAGGACGACGGGGTTTGACGGGTACCTTAAGCTTGATGAAAAATTTAGCCAAAACTGTATAAAATTTCCGCAATGAATTTAGTGAATATTGATCTTTAAAGTACATTGATTTTTGGAAAAAAAATCATGCGAAGCATGGTTGGCCACCCCTAGGGGTAAGGCGGTAAAATGAAATACCCCATGATCCTCGCCATATAAAAGGTTACTGTCTTCGACAAAGTTGCACTGAAGGGTAAGGCTGATTGGTTAGTGAATATTAATACTGAATTAGCTTTCTATGCGGCGCTAATGTGCAAGTCAATTTCCTGTTCAAAATATTTCTTGAGATCATTACTATTTAGAAAGTTTCAGTTTTGGGGAAAGTTGATCAAGTAATCAATATCTTCTAATGTGTGGGTTGGTTGATTTAAAATTCATTAAGTGTTGCATTGAAATACTTTAAATTGTGTTAAATTTAAGTATTCTCTCGTTTCACATCCGTTGAAGTATTCTGAACGGCCACTCCGTTGTGGCTATATCACAGTATTGCTAAAAATGTATATATCTATAACTTTTCCGGTACCATGGAGTTAACAAAGTAAAAGTGAAAGGAGAGCAGAAAAACCGCGCACATGCGATACGACAATAGAGTGATGTTCATTCATAAAATACCCGGAAATGGGCACTGCCTATGATCATCACACAAAGATAATTGACTTACTTCAACGAAGTAGGTACCCGTCCATGGAATAATGTCAATGACAACATAGGTAAGTGGTTGGTAAGGTAAGGTTGTTTCTAAATTGGCTAAATACAAGCAGTAAATTGGCTAAATACAAGCAGTACTCAGCTTTGCCAATCAAAATTTCTATTACCAATGGTTCATCTTCCACTCGCTCGGTTG